ACCAAAATATTTTTTTGTTCTAGTCTAGTATTTATTTTTTTGCTTGTTTCAACCCAATTTTTTTGTTTGGGATTTTTTTATCCTAGCCAAATATTTATATTTTGCGTGTTTCAACCTTTTTTTATATATTTTTGTTTGATTCCAACTCCTTTTTCTGTTTGTTTTAACCTAATCTTATTTTTGTCCAAATTTTTTTAGTCCAACATTTTTTGTGTCTAAAAAAAATGAAAGTTCTTCTTTTTATTTATGTTATTTTTATCTCATGTTTTATTTTATTTATGTTAGTCTATATTTTACTCTTTATTTTTATGCTTAAATTTAGTTCTTTTAATTCTATATTTTAATCTTTTCAAGTAATAATAATAATAAGAAGAAAAAGAAAATATGATTAAAATTGATTTAAACATAATATAAATTTATATTTTCTCAATTATATTATATTTATTTTCACTATATTTTTATGTTATTTCGTTGTTTAAATTTTAATAATTTATTTATGTTATTTGTTCTTTATCATTATTATCTTTTATTACAAATTACATAATTTAAAAATGTTGATGATGAGTGAATTAAATTTTTAATTTATTTTATATTGAATAAATAAATAATATTATATTTTTATTAATTTTTAACATTAATATGTAGTTTCTTTGTTGCTACGTGTTATAAATTAATAAGTTGTACATGTACTTACATTATCTAAAGTCTTAAATAGTGTATATTAAAAATATAATTTATTTTAATTTTAATTAATTAAATAAATATTTTTACTAATCAAAATGAAGTTGTTAAGATATCTTTCTTTTAACTATCAAATTAGTATTTGATTCGTTGAATTATGTTAAAAATTATTTTAAAACAGTAATTTATAATATTATTGTATAACAATTTATACCTTAACGCGTTTTAAATCATTAGTACTTTTATATACTAATATTATCTTAAGTATCATGTATTACAAACTTATTTAATAATATTTTAATTTCTTTTAATTAAATAATTATATGTACTAATTAATTTAAATATACATTTTAAATATTTCTCCTATCATTGAATACAAATAATTTTATACTAGATCTTTATAAATCATGTTTCTAACTTTGATAAGTTAAATAACCAAACATTTAATTTTTTAAATTTATTTCTCTACTTTTATTATGCTATATTGTACAATACTGCTATACGATTTACATCAATTTCAGTTGACAAATAAGTCGTAAGAGATTTATGAATAGTTTATGTTATCTTAAACTTTTTTTAATATCAAATTTGAAATTAAAAAATATATATTTAAATATTTTTTTATAAATTCAAATATATTACCTTAACTATTATATTTTTTTTGTAACAATTTGTAATATAGGTGAGTAATTTTTTTTAACTTTGATATTATTTTTCTAGTAAATATATATATACTTGTATCCTAAATGTTATAATCTTATGAAAATAATTTTAATTTTAAAATAAAATTTCTTTTACTAAACTTAATTTTAATTAACCAATTTCACAATATTTGTATAGAACTAACTGGCTTTAAATTTTTCATTACACCTAATAATACGTATAAGCGGTAACTAAATCTGTCAAGTTAAAATAATTTTTAAAGTAATTTTTTCTCCTTTCTTTAATATTAATTAATATTTATAATATATAAATAAAAAAGTAAATATATATATATATAGCAAAAGTTTTATTTTAAGGTTAAATAAATATTTTTAAATTTATAATAAATTTACATAATTACTTCAAGGTAACTATTTTTTTAAAACCAATATTATTGGATGCTAATAAATTTTTTTATACATAAATTACTTTTGAATCCATTTTAATTTTAAAGATTATGTTCAAAAAAAAATTTAAAATTTTCTTTAATAAACTTTAGTAGTAACTCTTTTATTTTTTTTAAAAAAAATTTTAAGCTTTCACAATCCTATCACAACTCATGTTGGGATAAACTGCCATTAAAATACAATTAAGCTCCATCCATGGTTTATGCCTTGAAAACTCATTATTTTTCCAATGAATCTTGGATGAAAGGTACTCAACCTCTTTTTCTAAATAAACAAATCGTTGCATTTTAAGAATTATGCATCGACTGATGTAAAAAATGATAGAGTTGCTTAATTTAGCAACTGATGTTTAAACTAAATATTAATATCTGTTTTATTATTACTAAATGTCACTTTTTATTAAAGAATAAATACCCATTTTAATTTCTTACATTAGAAGTGTTCATATTTTAGTTTTTATAAAAAAAAAGTACTTTAATTCTAACTTTATAAAATAACATTTCCTTTTCATCTTTTTAACAAGGATAAAAAAATAAAGTAAAAAATTTGACTAAATTGAGTAACTTTTAAAAAATTAAAGACTAAAATAAAAAATTATTAAATCGAGGATTAAAATAAATATTTGAATGACCAGTCAAATCAAGATGTGTGTGTCACTAGAGAATAATGTTTGGGCTAAATTCTCAAATAATTTCAAATAATTATTCACACATAAGTTAGCATCCGTGTAGATCCTCCCCAACAATTACCTATCTTTACCATGAAAGCAAAGTGAAAAGACCATGCAAGATCTTTGTTAACACCTTACCCAAGTTAGATAGAGACAAAGAAGAGGAAAGGATCCAAATAAGCATTGTGTCAACCACTGTCTCACACAAATTATTTGCTTAATTATTATAAAATGTGCCAAAATTTACGACAAAATTAAGATACTATTTATCATTAAAAAAACTTTAGAAAAAAAAAATGCATTAGGTGAGAAAGTGTTTACGATTTCACACAGGTTACTCCCGATGGTTAAATCTTTATAGCCAGGAAAAAATCAATTAGTCCAGGTTTAGATTAAAACTGTTACATACAAGTTCAAATTGATATATCTTTTTGTTATAACAACTACTCGAAGATAAATACGAACTATAATTTAAATTTTAAAAAATATTTTCTTAGAGATATTTAGTTTTAAATTGGATATAGATACGATTTTATAATTTAAATTTTGAAAAAATATTTTCTTAAAGATATTTAGTTCTCAAATTAGATTATGTCTTACTGCTACTTATAAATATGATATCCCGCGCATCTTTTTTTTTTCTCTTGAAATATTCTTTTACTTCCAAACCTTTTGTGATAATGACAGTGTCCCAAGATGCATTGTTTGAAATATTCTCTTGGTTACCAGCAAAAGCTATTTACAAGTTTATGTTGGCCGGCAAGTTATTCACAAAGTTTCCAAACGAAACGTATTTTAGATTAAAACAAGCACAAAATGCCTTATTAAGAGATGACACATGTTTCTTCATTCAACCATACAAAGGTCAAAGTCACAATGGACAAATTGAGTTACACCCTCTACCTGGAGAGGAACTATCATCTGGGCTCTCTAATGAGGTTCTATATTTTTTGTCTAAGTCAACTAATATTCTAGGTTCAAGTAATGGTTTGATTCTTTGTTGTATGATGGATCAAAATCAAAGTAAATTATTTATTTGCAATCCAGCAACAAAGTCTTGGTTTTCCATTCCTACCCCTGATTGTTTACACAAGCCTATCACTAATGGTGATTTTATTGATTTTGAATGTGACTCAAATGATTGGATGGTGTTTCTTTTTTACACAGAAGATTGGTCAAATTTGAATTGCAATGTTTACTTATCCAAGAAAGGAGTGTGGAAAGCAATGGAACAAAATATTTTTAGTGGAGGAAGAAACCTGAGATTTGACATGCCTGTGTATCATAATGGAGTCATCTACTTCATCTCAGATTGTTTTCCTTACTTTACAAGAAAAAGCAATTATTTTAGGCCATATATTATGTCATATAATTTTGAGAATGGAAATTCAAAGATGTTGAGGTTGCCCAAAGAAGCAAGAAAGGGTTCTCATGACCATACTTGTGATATGAAAATTTTTAAATGGGACAAAGTCACTAGTTCATGTCAGTCCATTTGTCTAGTAAGATTGAAAAAACGTGTGTTCACTATATGGATTTCGACAAATTATGAATTAAGCAAGTGGAAAAGGATTTTGAAAGTGAGAGTAAAAGCAATGGGATTGACTGAGAAGGATTCCGATATCATGAGTTTTGTTGTTTTAAACGATAATCTTTTAGTTTTTGCTACACAAAAGTATGTCTATGGTTATTATTTGACTAGTGAAAAGTACATGAAAATACATAAAATTTGTGAACATAGATATGAATCCTATGTTCACATTACTTCCTACTCCGATACACTTCGCCCGTGTGTCGCTAGAGTTAAAACTTAGCTGCCACTTCCTTTACATGCTTGTCCCAAAGAAAGTGTTGTATCATCTAACTTTGAAAAAGTTGTTCCTTTAGGCTAGTTCTATCATTCCCTGAGGTTAAAATAATTGTATTTATGCTCCTAAGTATATTATGAAGTGATAGTATACTATATACTCCGCGAATACTATCCTCTGGCTTTTGCGGTTTGCTTCCGTTACTTTCATTATTTTGGTTGACTTGTGCCAAAATTTAAAATTATCATACAAATAAATGCCTATTTTAATTTCTTAAATTAGAAGTGTTGATCGTTTAAATTTTACAAAAAAAATAACTTTAATTCTAACTTCATAAAATGACATTGCCTTTTCATACTTTTAATGATGATAAAAAAAATAAAGGAAAAATGACTCAATTTAGTAATTTTTAAAAAATTAAAGACTAAAATAAAAAATTTATATAGTCAAGGACAAAAATATTTAATCTTTTGTTGATTCTAATGTTCCTAGCTAAATGACCAATCAAATCAAGACTTGCATGTCACTAGAGAATGATGTTTGGGGCTAAATTCTCAAATTATTTCAAATAATTATTCACGCACAAGTTAACACCCGTTTAGAATCCTCCACCACAATTACCTACTATCTTTACCATGAAAGCAAAGTGACAAGGCCATACAAGATCTTTGTTAAGACCTTACCCAAGTTAGATAGAGACAAGGAAGAGGAAAGGATCCAAATAAGCATTGTGTCACAATCTGGATCTCAATACTTTTTAAAGTTAAAATTGCAAGATTACAGTTGTAAACAATTTGATGCATTTTGTTTATAATCTTCCTAGTAATTAGTACAGAAATATTTGAGGTGGCAATAACGAACAAATAGGGATGGTAAATCAGAAACCACTGTGTCCAGACAAATTTGTGGATCCTCTCTGCTCACGGTTAACTGTCCATATAGAATCTGTTTTTTAATAACTGAGAAGAATACGCTCATGCTGGCAAATGAAGCTTTTGGTTGTTCTTCCAGCTGCACAGCACAATTTTTAACGATTAAAACTCCAATGGAACAAGGATTATTAGCATAAATAAAACAGAACTGAAAAGCTGGTCAATTTACCTTTGGAAATAGTAATAAAAGAAATCGGCATAGAGCAGTGTTTGAACAAGACCAGAAATCCATGCTGCAAAAGAACATATCAAAGGGAATCAGGATGAAATTTTCAGAATACAGAAGCGGCGGGAGGGAGACGATTGTTTCTTGGTTTGGGTGAATAGGGGTTATCAGGTCAATGTTTTCCTCATGTCTTATGTTGCAACAAGACATGGTAGACAGAGAGGCCTAGATCCATGGCTACCATCATGTTTACAGGTTTAATTTCTAGGCAAAAGGTTATTTGTGATGAATGTTGAACAGTTGTGCCATCTAAAGAGAAATCACTATTTTTAAACAAGGGGAAAATAAACAGAAAAACATTAACTTTTTTTCTTATCAATAAGCTAATCTTCAATTTCTTTTTCTTTTAAAAGAAATAATAAACTTATCCTAAACTTGTGTTGATTGGTATTCGGTCAGCAAGAATATATTAGCCTGTGAGTACCAGCTAAATGGTAGCAGGTACTCCACATGATAATTGGATGCCAAATTATTGTCCATACCTAGTTGATGAAAAAGAAATATCAATGTTTAACTTATTTAACGCTCGTAAACATTTGCCACTTGAATATTAGAAGCAAACATGGGATACATCATATAGACATTTCAAAGATATGTAGCAATAGAAACTCACTTCATAAACATTATTATAATATAATACCACATATATATGAATAAAGGAAATATTTGTTTCTATATAGAAATGAACAAAGTAAAACTTCTTCAGTAATGGATTCTACGCAGTGAATAATAGATAGATTTGTGAATATTTTAAAGAGCTTGCACAAAACGGTTATATGAATTATAAGGAACATTGTAGCACAATGCTATAATGCTTCATGAGTTTCAAGAATTCCAAATAATATGAAACTTAGAATATGCAATGAAAAGGTGCAAAACCATAAGACATATGGTAGTGACTAATACGCAGAAGGTATAGTTACTTGATACTTATAATAAGTGTAAAAGCAGAAAACAATAATAACCATAAAACAAAATCAGAGAGAATCATACTTATCCAGTGGACAAAGTGGGGCTCAGTAAAGTAGCGATAGATCCAGTTGAGAATGTATAGTGCTCTGTATGCACTGCATTTAGCCAGGCAAAATAATATTACAACAATAATTTTATGATATCATGGACTTAAAAAAATTGCAAATGAGTTTAAGTTGAACAAGATTCATAAGAATTTATTCAAATGCACATATATCACATCACGAGCAAATCACTGGGAAGTTATATCCAAATTAAATGAACACCTGAAACAAATGGAAAAAGATTCATGGAACCTGATTCATATAGCCCTCAAACAGTTGACAGTAACAAAAGCCATTTTGAATGGAGTTCTTAACTAACTTCTTAGACAGAATAAAGTAGAATGCACACTACAAGCTTGTATAACAATTGAATTTAATAATTCAGAGACTTAATTTAATTGATAGCCAAATTCTCTCCTATGTTGCACTCTTATGCCCATCAATTGTGGAAATCTAAATAGGAAAAGAGAAATAGGATCACTGTTTCATGAGATCACACTTAGGGTGTTGAACAGTTCATGTAACCTAGGCAAATTAAGGCTAGTGTTCCCATCTAAATATACCTGAACATGATTTTAGGGGCTAAAATGAATAAAAGGGGGATCTGTATTTTGACGTCATACAAACTGGCAATAAAAGTTGGAGTCAGTTCAGAAAAGGGGAGGAAAGATGAAGAAAACTAAGAACTTAGGACTTAGGTCTCCCACATATAAAAAATTTCAATTCATGATCATAGTAGAAGGACAAATTCAATGAGCTTTTCTAATGAAGCCAACGGACAGCTGGCCCATGCACACTACTGCAAACTCACCCTATTTAGGTGAGTTTGACGATGAACCGTTTTGGAAACTGTACCATAATCAGATGAAAAGCTATGGTTTTCACTGTTTGAATATTTAAACAGAATTACTGACTTCAGTGAACTTGATATGTATTAAAGTAGCAACTCCTATCTTCATCTTGCACCAAACCACTACTAAGCTCATTCTCTGATGGAATAGATATCAACACAAATAATATAAATGCCTTTGGAATGTAACAGCAATAATTTCATTTCCAATGCAAATGTAATAACAAGAACCACAAGAATCATGGAAATATGTAAAAATATTCAGAAATAGATAGTTGGACAGTATCTTACCCAAGAAGAAAGACATATTGTCCAGTCAAATTGTCAATATTTCTAGTTCTCTGTAAAAGTACTAGTTGAGGAAGTATAGCAACAGCTTCCAAATACAGGGAAAATGTCCACATCACCTATTCCATGAATAAATATATTTTTGAGAAAATAAGCGTAAGTTAAAGTAATGCATACTCAGCTCTTGATAACAGTCAAAAGGGCACAAAGTAGTTACATGACAGATATTATAGTATAGACAACACATAACAGCAGCCGCATACTAACCTCCCTAAATGTGAATTTTTCATTGATAAGTAGGGCCAATAGTAAGCAGGGCAATATGAGAAAATAATGCCGAAAGGTATCCTGATCTTTGTCATATGATCTACGAACAACTTTATGGTATCTCATGTACCACACAATACAAAATGAGCTTCCCAAGAATATCAACTTCATAATGGTATTATAGAGAGAGATATAAGAAGTGAAGATATCTAAGTAGCGAGAAGCAAAAACAATTGAGTATAGTTCTTGAGTCTTCAATGAGACACCTGCAAAATAAATAAGATGCATCCAAAGTCAGTCAGAAATATGTATTCTCTAGAAAAGATAGTGAGAAAAGTGATTCCTAAAGTCTAAACCAAGAGAGATGTACAAACCAATGCTTCCATAGATTTGATTGTGGTTTACAATTATAACTTTCATAACTGTTTATTGTTTATTGAAGCTCATCCAGATAAATAAATAAAAGGTAAAACAAGGTGCAATGATTCAAATCAAGATTTTATATGATTCTTTATATAAAATTCAAATCATAACAACAAAAACATACCCAAATAAATATTAAAAAGTCAGACTAAAACACATTCAATCAATATGAAAATGAAAAGCCTCGCTTAAGTAGGTGTATACAGCTTTAATGAATAAATTTTTTGTTCATCGCTTTTATCCTCTTTTTCTTCATCTGGTAATGAATTAAATAGTCTATGTTCTTTCTTTACCAGAAAGAAACACATACATAGGAAGGAAAAACATATACATGTTGATGCAGGATAAAGGGTTTCTTTTACAATTACATGTCAGGCTTCAGTATAGGCTACCGATAGTACTTTAGCACAACAGAAACACAAACAGCAGTTGAGTTACAGTAAAAGCACTACAAAATTTAAGAAGCAGACCAACATACACCTTTGTCCAGCATCACTTGCGTCAGACTTATTCTTCATTTGTCTACAACTACAACCACATTCTTACGCCTATATAGTGTTCTCACTATACAAATTCTACCAACACTTATTTGGAACTTGCCATTTCTTGCACATAGAGAAATAGACACAGCAAAAAGATTAGTCTGACTAATTTTAACACACCCTATTTCCGAAAGACACCATAAGTTTTAGAATCGTACTTTTGAGACTAATGTAAAACTTCATATTGCTCTTTGTTGATAGGTGGCACTTGTTAGACACAATATTCACGGCAAACACCAACTCGTTTCTTCAAAATTTAGAAATGATAGGTTGTATCTGTTTCATAAGAAAGCAAAATGCATACCCTCCGAACCTTTAACTTGGTTCAAAAGAACGGGGTCAAGACTCAAGATGCAAGATGATTCCTCAATAATAATACAATATGTATAACAGTTCTCTACGTTGTACAGAAAGATATTATCATAAAAAAGAAAATTCACGGAATCGAACATAAATTGAAACCTATAGCACCTATCTACCAGAAATACACCATACAACAACAATCCCAACATTACCAAAAATAAAAATAAAAATTCTATCTTATAGTTTGACATCAAATCCTCTAAAATTGAAACCCCAAAGCCGAACAGAGAGAAACACCAGCATTGGAAATTTGCAATACAAATCTGAAGGAAAGAAAGAGAGAGGAAAGGGTACCGGCGCAAGATTTGATGGTGTGGATCTTGAGGAGGAGAACGAGGACGCTGGCCAAATGGGTCATGTCCCCAGCTAACCTGAAAATATTCATCTTCGTTTGGATCCGATTTGTGACGGGTCGATCGGCGTTGTGAAAATCGTTTTCAGGATGCGGTTGTGTTGCGCAGTGGCTACTAAAGCTGTGCCCGTTGCATATAAGCAGAGAAGACTTTAGAACATGTCGGATTTGGAGTTTCTGCTTCTCTACTTCTTTTCTTTTTGTTTCTCACACGCTTTTTTTCGCCCTTTCCTGATGCTAACGCTAAGCAGTTTTTCCTGCGCCCAAAAATTAATAACAGTGGGTTATAAGAAATCAGAAATAATCAATATAATTGTTTTCTAATAACTAGTAAACTTCTTTGTATGTTGTATGAGTATTATTGTGTTTAAATAAATTTTAGATAAGAATTTATTGCGTTAATTTATTAAATTGAAAAATAAGGTTATTATTTTTTTATTATAAAAGTATTAGATTATCTGCGGTTTCAATTTTTTAGATTTTTTTAAATTAATTAAGTTTCTTTGAAATTATGCAACGTGGTTCTTCTGTTGATTTTTTCTATTTAGAATTCTCTAAATTTGATTTTCTATGTAAAATTTTAGAGGGTTTGTAATAAAATTATTAGACAAAATACATTTAATAGTTTAGTAAAATTTTATAAAATTTAAATAGTTTTATAAGATGTGAAATTAAGATTTGAATAGAGAAAATTTTGAAATTTTTTATTTTGGATAAATTTTAATATTTTGATTGATTAGTTTTTAGTGGACCACAGTTTAATTTATTTAATTGGTAAATATTTTAGGTAGAAAATGATAATTTAAAATTTATGGGGGAGAAAAATCAATGAAAAGCTAAATTTATTGACTTTTAAGAATGAAGAGACTTAGTTGACTAAAAATAATGAAGAACCGAAATTACACATTATCTAAGCTAGAGAGACAAAAATACAATTAATCTAATAAATATTATATTAATAAATATCTATTATGTCTATTAAAAAGGTCTATTAATATACTTATTTTTGGTTTGAGAAAGACACAAAATAAAGAAAAAAATAAAAAAAGTAAATAAAGAGATGTGTAAATCAAGATAAAATTATTTCTTATTTGATTTAAAAATAATATGGTTTTATTGTATTCTTTTACTAGGGAGTAAACGCACACTAATTTTTAATTTTTAAGAATTTAGAATGAATATTTTGTATATTAAAATAAAATTCATATTTTCAAAAATTAAAAATATATTTAACCTTTTAGTTATTTAGAAAAAAAAAAGTGTTGGAAAAATAAAGCAGTACAAAGTAAAATGATATCTAATGATAGAAGTAACTATTATTTGTTTATAGGGAGAAAAATATATTTTGTTCTGTATCCCGCTTTCACTATTTTTGTCATTACGGAGAGAAAATTTTAATGTGAAATTCACACACAAAAAATATTTTTTTCTCTATTATTGACAAAGTTAAATATTTTAATTTTTAACTTTATTTTTATCTGGTTTAATTCTTTAACCTTTTATTTTATTTTTTTAACTTTTAAATATTGACTAAATAGGTTTTTAATTATATTTAATTTTATTAATTACTATTTTACTTTTCCTTTTAATTTTGTAGTTATCATTATTTTCTTTTTTTTTCTCCTTTTTATTTTTTCTTCTTCCACCTCTTTTTTTAATCGATGTAGTAAGTTATTTACATTTCAAAGTTAGTAAAAGAAAATAATTGGAAGACCAAATTAAAACAAAAAGTAAAAGTAAAAAACAAATTACTCATTTTATCCCGTAGTTTCTATCTTATTTCAAAGGGGAGGAAAAATAATTTTTTACCTTTATTTACTATTCAACTAAACAATGTATTAGAAATTCAAATTATATACTGATAATAATAATCTAATGTTTAAAATAATATAATATAATTTGAACTGTAACTGATGGCATACTCGTATTTATTATCACTGCCTTTTATGTAAATTTTTTGGTCATAATTTTATTAATAGTAAAGTTATTTTATATATTTTTTAAAATCCAAATAATAATAAAGATATAAATTTAATTGGATCAGTAAAACACATGTAGAAGAGAAAGAAAGCACACACAGTTATGTTGATAGAACAAAAAGTAAATTAAAATTATAAAAATTAAAATATAAAATTTTAACTTTAAAAACTAATTTGTTAATGATAATTAACTTGTATTATAATTTGATTTTATCTTTAAAACACATTTAATTTTTTATTAATAAAAAATTAATTTATTTTATATAATTTTATTAGAATTGAGTTTAAGGATTTAAACATAATTTTGTTTAATTAAAAAAGACTTCATTCTTTATATTAAAATTATAAAAATACTCTCCTTTTAATAAAAGTTTATCATAATTAGTTTTTTAAATTTAGTCTAAGGGCTCAACTTAACATCTTTCTATTTTATATTTTTATCTTTTATTACCCTTTCAAATAAATGAATAAAAATATCAAGTTTAATACTTTTATTATAACTTTTATTATATATCAATTATTCTTGAATATTTTAAAAAATTCTATAACAAAGAAACTATCTTTATAACCAAAAAACAATTAATTACTATCTTAATATGAAACTACTTTATATATAAGTTTGTTTAAAGATTTAAACTTTTAGTATTTAAATTTTTTTAATTTTTTATTTAGTACTTCATTTTTTTAACAAGTTTTTTTTTAATTTATAGTTAGAATACAGATTTTGTTAGAATAAAAATGTAATAAATATTTTTTAATAATATTTTATTATATTTAGTTGTTTAAACTTAGTCCTTAAAAATTAATATTTTTACTTTTTTAAAAATATACATTTATGATTTCTTAAAATTTTGTGAGGTTTTCCTTGGTACTTATTTTTAAAATAAGTCTATTTTCTTAATTTATGATTAAAATACAGATTTAGTCCTTATCATCTACACTGATTTATAAATTAGTCTTTATAATTAAAATTTTAATTCTAATATTTATAAAATGTTATATATATTGGTCTCATTCATTTAATGCCGTTAATAAATTTAAAATGTTTAAGACAAATTCATTTAATGCTGTTAATAAATTTAAAATGTTTAGGACGAATTAAAAATCTTTTGCTTATATGAGGACTTTAATTATAACATTTAATTATGTTTTGAAAAAAACTAATCAAAGTGTTGATTGGTTGACTAAATTAGATGTTGAGTGTGAGTTACCTTTCTTTTGTTTTGATGAGGCTTCTTCTTCTTTAGTATCTTTTTTAATATTGGATACTGTAAGTAGTTGATATCCTAAATTGACTATCTGGTTTGTTGTTTTTGAGTTGTTAAGCCTTATTTATTAACAAAAGAAAACTAAATTTATACTTTAATCTTTTATAAATTTTAAAATGGTAAATATTTATATTATTAATTAATAATTTTTATATGCAATACTTAATTTTTGATTAAAATATAAATTTAGTCTTTATCATTTACACTGATTTACAATTTTAGTTACTATGAAATCTATTAACCAAAATAAATAAAAATAATAAAGTTTAATTTTTCAAAGAAGTAATTCTTTTGAACCGTATAATCCATCAAACAATCTCTTGTATATTGTCTTTCTTTAAACATGCGCAAACTTTATTACAAAATTTTACTAAATTTTAGTTTTGGCAATAAAACAAAACTAAAATAGAAGAAGAGAAAAAACAAAAAAACATAACACTCAAATTTATTTTGATTTTCTCTCAATCATCAAAAGCCATGTCCCCATGTCAAGTCTATAAGAGCAACATTTTTCACTTGCTTCTAAACAAATATAATATAAAAATATCTTCTAAATATTCTTTTCTTATAAGACCTTCCCATACTTGATAACTAAGTTTTTTTTTTTATATAGAATAGTCTCTTCAAGCTTTTATTCCAAAAGAAAAAAAAAATAGAGTTATTTCAAGATGAGCAACTACTAAGTGCAAAATTAGCTTCGTATGAAACTTAAGAACTAAATAAAAGTGTTCAGCATTTTATAGAAAAAATACTAGTAAGAAAGATTTGATTCAAATATCTAAAGTAATTTGTTACATAATTAGGCAACATAAAAGATAATTTGTTATAGTAAAATTAACAAAAATAATGATTAATAATTTATATTAACCTTTACATGCTTCTACATTTCATCTATATCATTTTTAAACTTTTTTTTAACTATTAACTAGAAGTGGTATTTAATGATGTATATAAAGAGGTTGCTTCAAATTTAAAAAAAGTTTGCGTACTTTTCACAAAGCTTATAACACGATAGTGAGAATTCGATATTAAGAGTATAATTTATACTATATTTAAAAAAATATATAAATTTTTTTTTAAAAGAGAAATCAAACATATCCTAAGAAATTTTTTTTTATCTTTTTTTTTTTACTTTTGCATTGATAGAATAATTGTTTAAAAATATTTTAGAATTAAATCTATATGATTTCATAATCTACCAGATTATAAGTATTAATTAAAAAGTTAATAAAAAAATAAGTTATTAAATAACTAAAAAAGGATTATTACACATAATTATCAACAATATGCATTTTTTATAAAATTATTACACTTTCATGAATTTTAAATAAAGTTAAGTGTGATGATTAAAAGAAAAAGATATTTCATTCGAAATGGTAAAATTTTAACTCTACTACCCCACCATGCCAGTATATTAGAGTAGGAAGTGATGCAAACATAGAATATTTTGAATTTTAAGTTAATTGATTACGTGGTAATGTTCTTATTATTATTATTATTTTAATTACCTTTTGTCATTCCTTAATTAGTTTTTAATTAAATTAATTTGAATTTTAGATATTTTAATTTATTTCTTACATTTAAAATTTTTTCTAATTAATTTAATTTAATTAAATAAAGATAAAAATATTTAATATTTTTAATTTATCAAATTAACTAAATTAAAAATTAAATATGTAATATCCATTGATTTTTTTTCACAATTTAACTTTATCTATCGTAAAATTATGAGTTATAATTTTTAAACATAATATATTTAAGAAGTATCTTAAATAATAGTATATTTAAGAGGCTTTTTTCTAGAGAAAAAAGAATGTAACTAATCCTGTAGTGAGAATTTATTATTTTTCAATTTAATTTTATTTTTAATTTTTGTAATTTATTTTTAAAATTAAAATTTTTTATAAATTTATTTCAGTTTTACTGCAAAAAATTATTTTAAAAATATAAAAATTATAAAATGTAGTTAAAGTACATATTCAAAACATGTTAATTGGAAGTATGAAACAAATCAAAAAATTATTAAATAAAATT